CAGCAAACAAGATATCTCTAAGGACAGCTTCACCAGATTTGCAGCTTCCTGTAAAGATCAGAGCATTCCTTTAAAGATAAATCTGGTACACAGCTTCAGCAAAACACATACCTAAAAGTCTGTTCTTAGCTCTAGCTTTCCTATAGACTTTAGAAACCCACATAACTTCAGCTTCAAAGGACAGAGCATATCTTTTGTAACCAAGCATATCCAAAATCTGTTTCTAGATATTTCTAGCAAACCTGCATTCAAAAAACAAATGCTGAACAGACTCAAGATGCAAATTGCAGAGAAAACACATAGGGTCACATTGCAAATCCCAGATAGACAATCTATCTTTTGTAAGCAACCTATTCCTAATAGCAAGCCAAAGAATGAACAGGCTCTTAGAGGTAGTAGGGTTGTTACAAAAGAGCCTTATCCATGGAACCTTGGGAGTTTGAGTAATAATCTTCAGGTAGATCTTCCTAATCTTGATTATATTACCTTGCTAAACAGCATCCCAGCCACCAATATCATCAATAACAGTCCTACATTTCAAAATCCTACTCAGAACCCAGGAACATTTCCTAGGAGAAGGCTTTTCCCACCAAGGTTTGTCTTTGAAAAAATGTATATGAACCCATTTCACCCATAGGTTATCAGCTTTATGAGCAAGGTCCCAAATTAGTTTAGAGATAGCAGCAGTATTCCACCTAGGGAGAGAAATAAGGTTCCACCCTCCACTGACTTTGGGAAGGCAAACTTGAGACCAAGAAACAAGAGACTTCTTTGAAGGGTTAGCTTTACCAGTCTATAAGAAAGCTCTAAACCTAGCCTCAATTTCCTTCAAGATATTTTTGGGAAGGATGAAGATCTGAGCCTAATAAGTTTGAATTCCAAAAAGAACACTTTTCACCAATTGCAGCCTACCAGCATAAGATAACTGTCTAACAGTCCAACCATTAATTTTGATAGTCACTTTATCAACAAGAGGTTTACATTGAGCAATAGTCAGTTTTTTAGAGGATAGTGGAACCCCTAAATACTTGAAAAGATAGTACCAGAAACAACCCCAATCAGATTTCTTAGCTCATTTTGCTCAGACTTAGAAATACCACCAAAATAAACCTCACTTTTGTCTAAATTAGCAGATAAGCCAGAAGCCTTTGAAAACTTAAAGAAAGCTTCAAAAATCAGAGAAACTGATCCAGTATCAGCTCTAGAGAAAAGCAATAAATCATCAGCAAACATGAGATGAGTCAACCCCATTTTCTCACACCTAGGGTGATAATTGAAATCAGGATTAAATTGTAACTCGGAGAGGCACCTTGAAAGATACTCCATTCCAATGGCAAACAGGAAAGGAGACATTGGATCTCCCTGCCTAAGACCCTTCTTTGCAAGGAAAGACTTAGAAGGGATGCCATTAAACAGAATAGAGAAAGAGACAAAAGATAGGCAAGCCATAACCCAGTTAATAAACTGACTAGGAAAACCAATCTCAGACATAACAACCTTTAAGAAACTCCACTCCACAGAGTCATAAGCTTTTTTCAAATCAATCTTCAGCATACACCTTAGAGAAAGAAACTTATGCCCATAACCTTTAATCAGCTCAGTAGCTAGTAAGATATTATCTCTTATATGCTTCCCTGGGATAAACCCAGCTTGAGCACTGTCAATCACCTCAGAAATCACAGTTGCAAGTCTAGAAGTAAGAATCTTAGAGATTAACTTATAGAGAATAGAACAACAAGCAATTGGCCTGAAATCTTTAGCATGGGAAGGACTATGAACCGTAGGAACTAAAGTTATAGTAGTACAGTTCCATTGCTTCACACATGATCCCAGTATTGAAAAAATCCATGACACCAGCATAAACATCATATTTCACAACCTCCCAAGATTTCTTGAAAAAGTAAGAGTTGAAACCATCAATCCCAGGAGCCTTGGAACTTGGAAAGCTCTTTGAAAGGGCAATTCATCTGTATAGGCCGTGCACGGAAATATGATGGTTGGTTTATCTGTTTGGCTCGGTTTTCAACAATGTAAGATCCGTTAGATCCAATCATTGCATTTGACGCATTTGAGTTCATTATTAATCAAGTTAAAACATGTATGAACACGTTTTAGGCCTAATTAGTAATTGGACAAGGCTCTAATATAACTTGGTCTCAAATATGGGTTTTAACTTACTTCATAATGCATTTCGTAGTCCATAATGTAATCCCCCGTATTTTTTAAATATTTTATAAATGAAATTTTATTTTATTTATAATATTTATTTGTTATTTTCTGGAATTTAATTTCAAAAGTTTCAAATTATTAATCTGGGTCGAAAATTGTTTGAACAAATTATTTTATTCACCTTTACTCTACAATTTATGTCCAATCAAACAAGTCTAACCCATTTGTTTACTTAATTGACCCATTATTTTTATGAGGCCCAATCTTCCTTTTTACCCTACAATAATTCTCTCCTATAAATACCCCATGAATCTCCAAAAATTTCCCACACAAAAAGGTTAGTCTTACTTTCATCCTCCTTTGTTTCATTATTTTGCTTAATGTTAATTTAATTGTTTTGGGTTTTGATTTTAGTATAAAGATTATATTCTTAGTATCAATTATATTTTGATGGTATAAAGATTATAAATTTCAGATTATATTTATGTTATAAATTTTCATATTTTATGAATTATAAACCTAGGGTTTCAATTTATTGAAAATCATGATTTTAGGGTTTTTATGAACAATTGATTTAGGGCTTTTATAGTAATAATGTTTTGAAATTTTGGTGATTATAACTAATGATTAGTTTAACTTAATTCCAGATTATTTTGAACACTTAAATTCGTGTTTTAATTTTTAGATTTTCGTTCGTTAATTGAACTCATCCGATTTTGACAAAAAAGTAGTGTTTTCCAAGAAAGTATGAATATTTGGGTTAAAACTATTCTAAACCATACTTTTAGAATTCTATTTATAAACCCGAGCTATTCCAATTAAACTATGTTCATGTGTTTCTAATAAAGTTTCAAATTTAAAGTTTTTAATTTAATTTCAGACTTTGTAATATGAATTGTATTGTTTTAGTATCAAAATAAGAAGTTTTAATGTTTCTACATATTTTATTAAGCTACTACTTTGATATTTCAAGCGTATATTGTTGATTTTCTGAAAGATAATAACAAACTAAAATTTCAAATTTTCGTAGTAACTTAAGTGTGCTGAAATTTTATGTATAAAGGTGTATTTTAAGGTTTTTATGAAGGAAATATAAAGAGTTATGTATAAGCTTTTAATTTTAATTAAAGGGAAGGTATTAAAGTGTTGCTTAATTAGATTTTGAAGGTTTTTAAGCGATTTAGTATTGCTGTAAATTTGGTTGTTTGGGTATTGATTGAGGTTTTGTTGTTTGGTTTAGGAGAGGACCTCATAAAAGGTGTTTTTAGTTAGAAAAGCGTTTTACCAACTTTTTTATTCAAGGTACGTACAAGTTACGAAACCTTGCTTGTAGGTGCATGTTCAAGGACGGATCGAGAACTTAGTATCATGTATAGGATTGACTGAGTTAAACTATTTGGTTATACATTGTGAATTTCAAATGATGTGCACTATTTTAAATTGCAAGTATTATTTGTGCTCTAATTATGCAAGGTGCGCTTAGAGGCAAAGGTATGTGATTGGTGTAAAGATTAATTTATTACTCATTCATGATTATGCAAGCAGGATGAGTAAAGGAAGAATTTAAGTCTTATAAGACGAGATTAAGGTTTTGGGGTGCCTTATGCACTCAAGGTGTTTATACACCGAGGTAGTTAAAGGAATAAATAATAAATGTTGCTTGTCACTTATAAATCAAGAATTGAAATTGGAAATTAAAGTTGTTTTACTTGATTGAATTGATATTGGATTGATCGTATTGTTTGCATATGAGTCATCACCAAGTCTAAACCTGTAAATCACGTAAAGTGCAAGATGGATGAGCAATAAAACTCTGGATTGGTGCACTTCTTCAGTAATGACAATCAGGGGTTGGGGTATACGGGGTATTAGCTGTGTACTTTTATCGAGGCCGTCTGATCTATGAGTCTCCTATTTCAAATATTTTTTTAAACTAGGAGTTAGGTGAGATCTCATACTAACTACGGTCACGGAGTCGCGCCCATGGTCGTTGGATGTTTATTGATGTTTCCAAATGGAGGCATGGGGTTTTTCTTTTATTGATGTTCCGAATGGGACTTGGGTTGGACAACCTTGTCTATTGCTAAATCCAATGAAATAAATAAATGAGTTAGTTAAAATCAACTAGTGAGGTCTTAATAAATTTGATAATTGAGCCATGTGTTGAGTCTGTATTTTAATGATGCTTCTGCTCGATTATTAGTAACATGTTAGGTATTTTCTTAATTTATTTCGCAGCTTGTATGTACTCAGCTTTGCTGATTACGTGCTTTGTGTGTCTTTCTTTGGTCATGGCCTTCGCCTTTCAATGACCTTGTGACGATCTAATTTTTACACTTGTAATATTGGGGAGCAGATTAACCACAGGTTCTTACACATGCAGCATTCACATCAGGGTTGTGGGATTTTGAGTGGAGAGTTGGTTATTATTCACAGTTTATTTCTTTTCATAAGTTTGAATTTATTTAAACTCTGGTTTAATTTATTTACTACATTTGTGGGGTTTTGAATAAGGGCCTCAATGGTTCCAAGTTGTATGATTTAATATGGTTTTGGGTATTGGTTTTGAAACTTATTTATAATTGAGTTAGTTTTTCCGCTGCTAATTTCTGATATAGCCTTAACGTTTGAACACGTGGCGGTAACACGCCAGTAATTCTCTTGGATTTTGTTCAGGGTATTTACAGGTTATAAGAGAGAATTATTGGGGTGTTACACATAAACACTTCAACTTTGATCTAGCATGAAGAACGGGTTTTTGTAACATCATCACACTTCCTTTCGGTGCAAGAGGCCAAAAGTAGGTGTCTACAGACGCAAAGAAGGTATGCATGGGAGCTATTTTGATGTGGTTTTTGTGGAATAGAAGAAACGATATGGTCTTTAATGGCAAGGATACCTACCATCCTGTCATAATTGATCGAGTTTATCGCCTAGCAGCTGATTGTAACTCCTATGCTAAGAAAATCTATGGGGGTGTCACGAAGAAATCTAGCAGCAGTCCTAAAACCTGGAAAGCCCCACCCGAAGGCACAATAAAGTTTAATTATGACGCTTCTCTCACTGTCGAAGGGTGGGTGGGATTAGGGGTTATAGCCAGAGATTGGAGAGGGGAGATACTCTTCGCAGCAACTCTTCGTGTTAGAGCTCACTGGCCACCGCTCATTGCTGAAGGTAAAGTTGCTGCCATGGCAATTAAGCTCACAAAAAGCCACAACCTGCATGATATTATAATAGAAGGCAACTGTCAAGTGCTCATCAACAAACTGTCCAAGGCCTTGACTTTCTTCACCGATCTTGATAACATCCTAGATGATATTCTTGCTTCTTGTGTCTCTTTTAATTCCGTTAATTGGTGACATGTTAAACGAGACGGTAATGTAGTTGCCCATAATTTAGCCCAATTAACTCCTTTTGGTATAGAGCAAATTTGGGAGAACCATAGCCCATGTGAGGTTTCTCCGTATGTATTGATGAACAAATTATCAATATAATGACGCCTTTAACGGGTTTCCAAAAAAAAAAAAAACTTTTACACTATTTACTTAATCTTCTTTGACCATCATTTATGATTTATTCGTTAGGAAAAATATAGTCACGTGAAATTTAGTTAGATTCGTCTTGAAACTTATTTTCCAAATATCAAATTTTTAAAATTTTTACAAAAGTGTAATCGAAAATATTAATAGCTAAAGTAATGCATTAGCAAGCGTGAAATCTCTCGTAGTGCAATAAAAAAGAATGGAGAAAATATTAAAAAGTGCAATTATTCTAGAGGTTATCATTGGGCGGGTCGGGCCAGGCCAAGGTCGAAAAAATCAGCCCACTCCTCGTGCCTGACCAGGTCAGGCCAATATTTGGGTCCTAGGAGTAGTAATTCGCTGGAATTTGATATATACACGTGGCTGCACACCCATACATATTTTGTTCTCATTTTAATGATTGTTTTTCATTTCATTTAATCATCAAATAAATAAAGAGAAAAAAACCTACGGAGTAAACTTGGATTAGATGGGTGTACGGTACGCTCGGAAATATATAACAATATATTGTAATTTGCAGATTGATTTAGGGTGAAGATGGAGAAGTTTAGTGAAAGAGCTCACTGTTTCAGGTATTGAACAAGGACTCACTGAAGTTTCTGGGTTGTATACGGGCATTTCATGGGGAAGAAACGGTTCGCCATTGTTGCCACTCTCTTGAGCTTTCTTTCAATTGTTATCGGTGAAAAGGTAACCTTCTCCAATCTTTCTTTATCAAATAACACCAGCTAATTTCCTTCAAAATGCGGAGAACTTTTGCAAATTTAATTGTTAAGCAGTGCAAGAATTCAATTGGTTTCCCTACCCTCCAAAACTCAATTTTTTATTCTGTTTCTAGTTCTTTATTTCGTAACGATTCTTCGATTTTCGGGTTTAGATTGATTTCCAAGCCATATTCTTCAAAGGGTTACTCTGAATTTGGGAACCCATTGAGAAAATTTCACTCAACTGGAGTGTCCAATGACTTTGTTAGTGAAGATGAAAAGAGTTTAGTCTATAATAGTGTTGATGGGTTGCATAAAATTATTATTGAAAATGTGGGTTGTGATAAGAATATGGAAAAAGCTGTTGAACAAGCTGGGATTTCCTTGACAACTGAGTTGGTTATAGAAACCCTTAATAGGTTTCGGTTCGATGAGAAAATTGCTTTTAGGTTTTTCATGTGGGCGGCTCGACAGGAGCATTATTACCATGAATACCAGACTTACAATGAAATGATTAATATATTATCTTCTACAAAGTTCAAGGTTAAACAATTTAGGATTGTTTGTGATGTGTTGGATTACATGAAAAGGAATGATAAAACGTTGATACCCGTTGAAGTTCTCTTGACTATTTTGAAAAAGTACACGGAAAAGCATTTGATGAAAGTCTTGACATGTTCAAAGAAAAAGAGAGGAATTAGGGTTAAAGTGCAGCCAGAGATCAAGGCGCTTAACTTGCTACTTGATGCTCTTTGCAAGTGTTGTTTGGTTGAGGATGCAGAGATTCTGTTCAAGAAGGTGAAGAATAAGGTTCCTCCAGATGCCAATACTTTCAATATATTGTTTTTTGGGTGGTGTAGGGCTAGAAACCCTTCTAGAGGAACGAAGATTTTGGAGGAGATGTGTAGCATGGGTTTTATTCCCGATAGTTTTACCTATAATGCTGCAATTGAAACGTATTGTAAAGCAGGAATGGTGACTGAGGCTGTTGGTTTATTTGAGTTGATGAAAAAAAAATCCTCTATCTCATCTCCTCCTACAGCAAAGACTTATGTAATAATGATTTTGGCGCTTGCTAAGAATGATCAAGTGGAGGAGTGTTTTAGAGTAGTTGGGGATATGATACAAAGCGGTTGTCTTCCTGATGTTTCCACTTACAAGGAGTTGATTGAAGGAATGTGCTTAGCTGGAAAGGTGAAGGAAACATACCAATTTTTGGAAGAGATGGAAAAGAAAGGGTATCCATCTGATATTGTCACATATAACTGCTTCCTCAAGGTTCTTTGTGATAATAGGAAGGCTGATGAAGCAATTCAGCTTTACCAGAGGATGGTTGATGTTGACTGTATGCCCAGTGTACACACTTTTAATGCGCTGCTGGAGATGTTCTTTGCCATGGGTGATCCTGAGGGAGCGCTTGAGGCTTGGGATGAAATGGGCAAGAAAAAATGTGATCGAGATGTCAAGACTTACTGTGTGATGATTGAAGGACTTTTTGATTGTGACCAAATTGAAAATGCATGTTTGTTTTTGGATGATGTTGTAAATCAGAGAATTAAGATACCTTATCTGAAGTTTGATATATTTTTGAGGCATCTGTCAAGGATTGACGATCTTCGTAGAATTCATAAACTTTCAGAGCATATGAAAAGGTTTTTCAATCCTGCTATGGCGAGACATTTTGCACTAAGTCAAAAACAAAAGGCATTGAGTTTTAGGAACAAATGAACTTTTGAAATTTATTTGGAATTCTAAAACCTCGTTATGGCATCATGGTATAGCCTATATCAAGAGCAAGCAAATTGAGTGATGGAGAAAGTAAAACACATGCGATCGCATGTGTTGTAACAATGTTTCTAGGACCAAAGGAGGTTTATCAATCAACTGCATTAAAATTATGGTGCTTTAGCTTCTTGGAATGATTGTCTCCACTCTTGGATGTACTATATTGACATTGTAATATTTTATATAAATCTTACATCCTTACCGGCTTGATTTCTGACTTGGTATTACAAAAAAGATTGGAGCAATGAGTTTACTATTCATTACATTGGAGAGTTACAATATTGCCATGGTACAAAAACCACCTGAGCAGCTCTCTAGAAGGGACTTCATGAATTACAATTTTATTGCTGCCCAGGTAAGTATTTGTTTTTATTTGATTCATGTACTGTAGCCTCCTCCCGCTCCTTCTCGTAAAAGGGTCTCTTTCTAATGTTCTGTTCCCAGTTCTCACTTGCATTGCATGTACTTTGTATATTGTTTAGCATCAAGGACTTAACCTCATGCATGACACTATCACTTACTCCATTATTCTGTACATACCCACCAGTAATTATACAACAATTAAGAGTGGGTAGGGTGTTTATTGTGTGTGATAATGTTTCCTTTCCTTTTAGATTTCACATCCCTCTTGAAATCATTGAAAGTTTTTCTTGGAAAAGTATACTAGTAATATGATCACATGAACTAATGAAAAATGATATGTTTGGACAAATGAAGTAATGGATAAATGAAAGAGGAGAAGGTATGAGCTAAGTAAATGATTAACTGTAGTGAAGAAGCTGTATTGAGGGAGAAATAAATTTATTTAAAGCCAAATATATATATGCTTTTATACTATTTACATGTGAGAAGCTTTCCTTCTTTGTCTTGTCAGGCTTTTCTTTTAAATGATTTTACTAAAACATAATATTCGGTTTACTGGTTTACATCCTTAAATCATGGTTGGTGTACATTGCTTCCAGTACTTTATTTAGATCTAGATAAAGTAATATCGGAAAGAAGAAAGAAAGCTTTTGGTAATCTGATCTTAGTTTTGAGTTATGAAGTAATTTGTATTGCTATTTTGCAGTGTATTTTGGTAAAAAAAAAAAAAAAAATTCTGTTGTTTTTTCAATGCTTGTTTTGATTGCTCTTAGCTGCTTAAAATATTACTCTAGAGGTTTGGTGATCCATAGCTTCGTGTTTGATGTTTGATTGTCCAGATTGTGCATGTTAGACTTAGGCCTCGTTCTTTAATTTTAATAATTATTAATAATAATTAATATTTATTAATCATAATAATAATTAATGATAATAATTATCAATTAATAATATTTAATAATTCAAACTATTAACAATTAATATTTAATAATATTATTAATTAATAATTTCTATTAATTATAATAATTTTTTCAAAAAATAAATAATAATAATAACAATTAATAACAATTTCTTTTTATAAACATTTGATATTAGAATCACAATGTGTAGAAACATTTAATGTGGGTATTGATTGTTAGTTCATTGAGTTGAATTATTTTAAAATCTTTCCATACAATTTAAAAATAAAAAAAGAGAGGTTGTTTTCAAGTAGTAGTTTATATATCATTATTATTTTGAGGGTTAAAAATATATGATTAAGACATATTTATAAGTAAAATTATTGTTACTCATTAAATCATTTTATTTTAAAATTTTTGTGAAATAAATATAAGTTAATCGTTGTCTTTTATCTTTCTACTATTAACATATGTTAAATTTGGTACACATTTATTTATGTTTTCACTCACCTAAATCAATGGTATATGCACTTAACAACAACAACAACAATGTTGAAATCGGCTCTGCTATGCTGAAATTTAATGTGCTCTGCTGTGCTGAAATTTAATGTGCTCTGCTGTGCTGACGTGCTCTACTAGAAGCTCAAAAAAACATTATATGGTAAAAAACAGTAAAAACTTATCTCAATAGGATGCAAACCAAATGACAGTAGCCGCGTCGTGGATAACCACTAACCAAAAAGATGATTTCACGCTACCTCCCGGTGCAATAGGCGCAAAGCGGTCGCAGAATAAGCACGGCGTCGGAGTTTGTGTACACTCACAAACCCGATTGGAACTCAGAATGTTTGGCTAGAATCAGAAATCATATAAGATGAAAGCACGGGTATTTATAGGGAAGAAACAATCAACAGTTACCACAAGAAAGTGTCTAGGTTCGTTTAGCCAAGCGAATAGATATGTTACACCAAAACGGCAAGGAATAATTCTGCCGATTAATTAACCGTAATCAAGGGCTAATTAAACTATAATAGTCGAAGTATAATTGACAATATTTTGTTACCGAGGTAAAGAAAAGAGATAAAAATTTCTCCAAACAGCCCACCCATGCATCGCATTCCCAAGACCAAGTTTCATGTCCCAGCCCGACCCAACTTGGCTCGGCGCGTGTGCGCGTGTGTGGTATAATAAAAAAAAAACCCACTTCATACTTAATCAACTTAGTAGGACTAAGATACAACAATATTTAAACATGGGAGAACACTCTTGTTCTTTCAAAGTAGGACATTTAATTCACTATTATACCACTTTTTTTAATTTGTTTTTCATCAAGAATATCCAACAACCTCCCACAAATTCAAAGATTAGAAAAAAGAAAATAAGAAGAAAGATGAATTCTAGCAAAACAAGCAATTGCATAAGTACAAATGTCTCGCGACTTGAATTGACATATAGTGAATATCAACTTATGATCCCTTTCCTATTAATTGACTTTCGTCTTGAACTTAATAGGGGGTTAGGAACCCGTCACTTAAGTCACACAATTGACCATGTATAATATTATGAAATTCCACGAATAAAATGACGCATTATATTGGTCATATGTCTTGAATGCTCATAGGTGCTCTAGAGTATAAGCCCATGAAATACTCATAGGAAGCGGCCCCACTTCCACACCTAAGTAAGTGAATCGTATCCTACAACACACCACCAAAAATATGGATATGGGTTCATTAAGAGCCATATGCTCAACCTCTTACTCATTTATAGCAAGGCACAGACATCTAGGGATGGACAAAAATAAAAATTATGCTTCCGAATTTTTATATAATGTTCCCCTTTGAACTCATAATGACTAGGAGTTCATTGCTTTACAATTCACACAACGGGCTTTAGCCCTATCCTTTCCGATGTTTCAAAACTTTTCTACATAGGCCTTTAGACAATAGATCCGTAACATTCTTTTCGACTTTACATAGTCTAGTGATATCACTCCTTCGGATAACAAATTTCTAACAGCGAATGTGTCTTTTATTCCCATTGTAGGTATGGTTGTTTGCAACAGTAATCGCAGCCTGCGAAACACAATGAAGTGCAAGTGAAGGAGCTGGCTTCCCCCATGTTCCTGAACCATTCTCTGCCTCATGACCTACCATTTCAAGAGCGATGAATTCAGATTCTATAGTAGACATAACAGTTCGATTCGGTCAACGCTCGGTCAAAACTCGACTCGAGATGTTAACGAGCACGAGTTAAGAATGCTCTAACTGGACAAGCTCGTGAGCAACTTGATAATATATTTTATTAATATAGAATTTACAAATAAATTCACCATGTTTAAACAAATTTTACACTTATAGGTGTTATTGTGTTAATATATATTATAATAAAAGAAAGAGTAAATATTTAATAATAAATATATTTTAAAAAAGAAAACAACATAAAGTGAACAAAAAAATATTAATAAAGGCATATAATTATAGAAAGCCCGAAACTTTAACTAGTACGAGTCGAGCAAGTTCTATTGGCTCGAAACTTTAGCGAGCACGAGTTGAGCACATGTAAAAAGTTTTCGAGTAGAGTTGAACACCCCTCACCTCGTGATTGACTCGCACCCCTAATATAGCTCCACCCCCAAAGGGTGATGACATAACCACTCACATACCGCATCACAAAAGTCCTCCAAAACTCTTGGAAATTTGGAGTAGTGCAAACCCCAAACATGGTACCTTTAAGATACCTAATCCGGAGAGCAATCCAATGATCACTACTAGGTTATGAGTGTTTATACGAGTAAGCAATGTTAGTTTTAGTGTAGTTCATAAGAAAAGCATATTAAGACTGATTAATGGGATCACCTTTATTTTTCATTAGGTGGAAACTGGGGTCATATGGAGTTCAAACTAGATCGACATTAAATGAGTTAAACTTTTTGAGAAGTTTTTCAACATAGTGTGTCAGGTTTAAGATAGATTCCATTTTGAGTCCTATTGATTTTTACTCCCAAATCCATGTCTTTCATTTCAAAATTCGAACTTAAGAAATCTTTTGTTTCATTTACTTAATCTAAGTTAGTTTCAAAAATCAACATATCATCCACATAAAGACAAATAATCACACAACTATGGCTATCATGCTTAGAATAAACACAAGAATCACCTTCATTGGCATGAAAACCATTACCAATGTCGAATTTGTCATGCCATTGCTTAGGAGCTTGCTTAAGCCCATACAATGACTTGTCTAACTTACAAACCTTGTTTTCTTAGCTCGGAACAACAAACCTTTTGGGTTGGATTATGTAAATCTCCTCATCCAAGTCACTATTCAGAAATGCAGGTTTGACATCCATTAGGTGTACAACAAGATAAGAAAATGATAGCAAGAGCAATCAAAGTCCTAATGGTTGCAATTTTAGTGATAGGGGAGAAGTATCAAAATAATCAATGCCATGTTTTTTAGTAAAACCCCTCACTATTATTCTAGCCTTATACTTGTCTATGGATCTGTCGGGTTTTAACTTCTTCCTAAAGATCCATTTACAAGTAATGGGCTTGCAACCCCTAGGAAGATAAACCAATTCCCAAGTGTTATTATTGAGAATTGATTGTAACTCACTATCAATTGCTTCTTTCCAACAGAGTGAGGGATGGCTCAAGTGGTTAGAGCTTCCCTCCCGATTTTTAAATCGATTCTCACCCCCGCCCTTGTGGCTCTCTAAACACAAAAAAAAAAGGTTGCTTCTTTTAAAAAAAATAGCATCAACTCGCCAAATTACCTCATCGTAGGTTCTTGTATCATCTTCCAACACAAAGATGTGAACAAAATCATCATCAATATTAAAAGATTCGGATAAAAAGTTAGTAACAAAATCAGGTCCAAAATTGTTATTCTTTTGTGCCCTTTTGCTTCTCCTTAGCTCCAAAACAGAACCATCGTTACTAATAGGAGCATTAGCAATAGGTAATCTAATAGAATTACTAGTAAGTAATTCACTATCATAAGATGAAGACATTTTCCAAGTAAAAATGTTCTCAAAGAATTCGACATCTCTTGCCTCAATGGAATGGCCACCTGCATAAGAAATGTTAGTACCTTTAACAAGGAAACGATAAGTTACACTTTGACAAGCATAGCCAATAAAGATAGCATCTATAGTTTTAGGACCAATTTTGTCCCTCTTGAAGGTAGATATGCCAACTTTTGCTAGTCACCCCCACACTTTCAAGTATTTTAGTCCTTCCATATTTCGTATAGTCTTGTCAAGCTTCTTGTGAGGAACCTTATTTAAAACATGACAAACAAAAAGAATAGCCTCCCCCAACATGTTAGTAGGAATCCCATAACTAATAAGCATAGAATTCATTATATTATATAAATTTCTATTTTTTCTTTCTGTTACACCATACCATTTTGTTCGGGTGCATAGGGAGCTACGACCCCTATTTATAGAAAAACATGGAGATACGACCCCTATTTATAGAAAAATAGTCTGGAAACTGATCGAAAATAAATAAAGTCTCATTCAGAATAAAAGACCTCCTGTCGCTCCTCGCGAACGACGGGAGTTAGCGTCAGACGACATGCACTAGCGCCAGGTGACAACTATTAGCGCTAGACGACAAGCTGCACGCGGAATCCTCTTTTTAATATGATTAAGTAGCAAATTCCGCGTTTATTAAATTAAAATCAGGTATATCATAAAACACTTATTTTATTCCAAATAAAACTCTTTAAAATATAATTATCA